TAAAACTTTGTATAAGTACTTAATGCAGCATAATAAGTAAATGATAAAAATTTCAAAATGATTGCACTGCTTTAAAGCCCTTTGACCTTTAATAATGTGTGGATGCACCCTGATGTGCTACGCATTCTCCAACGCGCCTAGGCATGCTTCTCATCAGGTGGTCAGCGTCCTCCTGTGGTATCTCATTCCAGGCAACCACCAACTCCTCTCGAAGTGCTTCTAGAGTCTGAGGAGGACGTTGCAAATTGAGAAATCTCCTACTCATCATATCCCACACGTGCTCAATTGGGGATAAGTCGGGAGATCTTGGTGGTCATGGTAACAGTGTGACATCATTATGTTGAAAGAAGTCTATCGTGACTCTTCCAACATGTGGTCTGGCATTATCTTGTTGGAAAGTTGGATCTGCCAGGGTGTCAAGATAGGGTAAAAGATGGGGTTCTAGAACTTTGTGGATATAACGCTGCGCGTTCATGTTACCTCTGATGAAGATAAAAGGTAACATGGAACCATAAGCTATAGCACCCCAAACCATAACTCCAACAGTGTGATGAATATGTCTTTCAACAGAAAACTGTGGATTCCTCCTATCACCGCGTCGCCTTCTAACCCTGGCACGACCATCGTGCATGCCTAAACAAAATCGAGAATCGTCACTAAAGACAATAATGTTCCATTCCTGATCCCAGAGTGACCGTTGTCTGCACCACTCAAGGCGATTACGTCGGTGTTCTCGAGTTAAAGGGAAGACCCAGTGTGGCCGGTATGAAAACAAGCCAAAACTTCTCATTCGTCGGTAAACGCTTCGCATGCCAATAGGTCTTCCGTGTTCTGCAAACCATTCATTTGCAATGGACCTGGTAGTGGAGAAACGGTCCCTTAAGGCCAATAATCTTAGGCGGCGATCTTCACGGTCTGTTGTTCTACGGCGGCATCCAGTGCCCCTTGCTCTTTGCGTACGGCCTTCTCGAAGCCATGCCTGACAACACCTAACAACAGTGTCTACACTTTTTTGCACTCTAACTGCAATTGCCCGAAAAGAAAGTCCAGCTTCCCGAAGTCCCACTATACGGCCCCTATCAAACTCACTAAGTTGACGAAATCGTACAGGTCTCCGTACTCTAGGCATCGTAACCGATCGTAAAGGATGTCAAGAACCAAAATCCGCCAACGTTGATTTTTTACTGCGGCTGAAATATTCATTTTTAGAGCGTTAGTAAATTAAAAAGAAGCAGTATAAAAACCGGAATGTCCAACTGATAAGGCTGAAAATTTTTTCACTTGTTATTTACACTAAGATAAATACATTCACCAACTTTTATTAAAATAAAACCATTTAAACTGGGTGTTCGGATTTATATGTCACTTAGTATATATAAGCTATCCCTAATTTCAGTTTGCTGACCTATTAGAAAAATTAGTAGGTGGAGGACCTTTTAAAGAGTACAGTATTTGTATTTATATCCCTCCACGTGACAGGAAATGTCTATTAAAGATTCAAAAGCATGTTAAGGCTACTATCTACAGGTGCCAAAACCTATAGTATGAGCAAATTTTTGTCACACATCATTTAATCGCAAAGCAACAAATGGTGAAGACTATACAGTGTAGCTACAATTAATGTTTGGCCTAGAACCATACTTTCCTGGACTCTCTCGTTACGAAACCTCTAGTCCGTCAGGACGAACTAATAGTTCGCCTAGCAATATTTCCCTGCACGTAAATATTTTGCGCGTTATATACGCTCTTGTCTACAAGAATCGCTTACATACGTCCATCTTCACTCCCTCACACATAGATACCTATATGTAATCGAACTGCATGCGCGGCCTTTTTTTTGCGCCAATTCAAATAATAAGCTATTAGTTTTGTCCTCGACCACATATGAGTCCTCGACATGTACGCATCTCACTTTCAGTATGACAACTTGCTTGTCATGGGCGAATGATTCGTGTTTACCCGTGTTACTCTTCAAAACAAAACACACCTGAAAATAGAACTACGATGTCGACGGCCTGTAAAAGAAGTATTTTCAGGAAATGTTTACCTAATTTATGTGTATGTGCAAGAGCGAGTAGCAGCTGCGCTACCGAAGAGCTTGTGCTGTGAGCGGGATTTCCCTCAGTTTAATTTGCTACGCCAGTTGTACCATTAAGGAATCCGTTTACTTATTTAGTATGGCATTATATTATATGTTTTTATATTATAATGTAACCGCCAAAACTGTGATCTTTCTTTTTCTTTCTTTTTGATTCAGTATGGGACTCATTGTGTTGATTGTTGCATTGTTAATTAAAGTCGTGTATGGTTTTTGTTATCTAATATCACTCTAATGTTTTACTCTCTGAGCATTAAATTTTTTATTTTATATCATTTTCCGAAAGGTTGAGTGGAGCAGATGCTTCCTACACTCCGCCTTTTAAGGAGCATCATATGAATGTAATGTATCACTTAATAAAGACCCATTATTATTATTATTATCATTATCATTATTACTATTATTATTATTATAATCTCTTTATTTCACAGCTTTAAATGGTGGTAGCTGGGCTTTGTGCTTCACTCCTCTGACCGAGGATGTACCACATCCCTACGGTCGAGCATTAGCCTAAGATTTTTCGCATGATATATGCGGTACCATATATTGCTACTTTTTGAAGCAGTTGCATGTTGAATGTTTTTTGATATTTTCTCTAGATGTTTCAACAGGTTGGTGGATGTTGCGCCAGTTGCTCCTACCACCACAGGTACGATCTGTGTTTTCATATGCCACATTCTGTTGATCTCAATGGATAGGTCTCTGTACTTGAATCTTTTCAAATTCTTTTTCCCGCACATTGTAGTCACTGAGGATAGCAACGTCGATGATGGTACAGATTATTATTATTATTATTATTATTATTATTATTATTATTATCAACTAGTTTTTCATTACGATTGATTCAAATTTGCCGTGATGGGGTGAACGCAAATGAAGGGATTTAAAACACGTTGACTGCGGGACTAATAATCTGTACTTTGGCGTTGACAGCGGTACATATCGTTGGGGTATAGTAATAGAGTCTTTACTGCTGTGCGTTACATATCTCCGGAGATATGTAATCTTTGTAAGATATGTTGCAGAATTTCACCACTTTGATGTAGAAATCTTTTATAGGATAGGTGAATCCATCTTGGAGTCACGTCGTACATATCTCTGGGGAGTAGAACCGCATGCTGATGAGTACAAATGTTCAACAATAAAAGTCAAGTTTCATTGAAATTTTTATTGAAAATAAATCATTTTTCTAAACAAAATTATAAACAAGAATATTTGACTTGTGTTTGGTATATTGAAACTTTTTTCTTGACTACAATAAGAAAGAAAATAATGAATTAAGATATACTAAGTGACATATAAATCTGAACACCCAGTTTAAATGGTTTTATTTTAATAAAATTTTGTATAAGTACTTGATGAAGCATAATAAGTAAATGATAAAAATTTCAAAATGATTGCACTGCTTTAAAGCCCTTTGACCTTTAATAATGTGTGGATGCACCCTGATGTGCTACGCATTCTCCAGCGCGCCTAGGCATGCTTCTGATCAGGTGGTCAATGTCCTCCTGTGGTATCTCATTCCAGGCAATCACCAACTACTCTCGAAGTGCTTCTAGAATCTGAGGAGGACGTTGCAAATTGAGCAATCTCCTACCCATCATATCCCACACGTGCTCAATTGGGGATAAGTCGGGAGATCTTGGTGGCCATGGTAACAATGTGACATCATTATCTTGAAAGAAGTCTATTGTGACTCTTGCAACATGTAGTCGGGCATTATCTTGTTGGAAAGTTGAATCTGCCAGGGTGTCAAGGTAGGGTAAAAGATGGGGTTCTAGAACTTCGTGGATATAACGCTGCCGGTTCATGTTACCTCTGATGAAGGTTAAAGGTGACCTGGAACCATAAGCTATAGCACCCCAAACCATAACTCCTACAGTGTGATGAACATGTCTTTCAACAAAAACTGTGGATTCCTCCTTTCACCACGTCGCCTTCTAACCCTGGCACGACCATCGTGCATGCCTAAACAGAATCGAGAGTCCTCACTAAAGACAATACTGTTCCATTCCTGATCCCAGAGTGACCGTTGTCTGTACCACTTAAGGCGATTACGTCGGTGTTCTCGAGTTAAAGGGAGGACCCAGTGTGGCCGGTATGAAAACAAGCCAAAACTTCTCATTCGTCGGTAAACACTTCGCATGCCAATAGGTCTTCCGTGTTCTGCAAACCATTCATTTGCAATGGACCTGGTAGTGGAGAAACGGTCCCTTAAGGCCAATAATCTTAGGCGGCGATCTTCACGGTCTGTTGTTCTACGGCGGCGTCCAGTGCCGCTTGCTCTTTGCGTACGGCCTTCTCGAAGCCATGCCTGACAGCACCTAACCACAGTGTCTACACTTCTTTGCACTCTAACTGCAATTGCGCGAAAAGAAAGTCCAGCTTCCCGAAGTCCCACTACACGGCCCCTATCAAACTCACTAAGTTGACGAAATCGTACAGGTCTCCGTACTCTAGGCATCGTAACCGATCGTGAAGGATGTCAAGAATCAAAATCCGCCAACGTTGATTCTTTACTGGGGCTGAAATATTCATTTTTAGAGCGTTAGTGAATTAAAAAAAAGCAGTATAAAAACCGGAATGTCCAACTGATAAGGCTGAAAATTTTTTCACTTGTTATTTACAGTAAGATAAATACATTCACCAACTTTTATTAAAACAAAACCATTTAAACTGGGTGTTCGGATTTATATGTCACTTAGTATATTTTAGTGGTGTGTTTCATTGAAACATTGAAGGCAATATCCCGTCTTCTTTGGGCATTCTTCACAATAGCTCATTATACGTCAGACTTTTTTGTCAGCCTCGCGACTCGTCATAGTTATTCGCAATTTTTTATAACATCCAGTACATGATCTTCTCTTCTTTCTTCCTGGACCTTCAGGTTACACGAAAGTGTGTTGCCTCTTTCTCGATGGAACTGGCTGCTTTTTGACTTCCGCTTATTCTATTACTAGATATTTAGCTAGTTGTGTTCTAAATTCTATAATGCTTAGCTTTGTGTCAGAAACCGCATTATAAACAATTCACGAATTCACCACAGTGGTGCCCAGTAGTAATTCAAACGTAACTTTGCTGCAAAAAAAAAATAAAAATACTTATACATTAAATGTTATATATTTATATATGAAAGGACTTACCGATACCATTTTAGTGTTTTACGTACAACACTATGATAAGAGGACATTTGGTCACTGATGTCGACACCCTTTTTCGCCAAATTATAATCAGTTACACACTGTGGTTTCAATATATATTCCTCTTTACGATTTTTTTTACTATAAAAATTATCTTTTATGAATCTTTATTTTGAAAATAATTGTATTGTCCTTACCTGTAGGTACTAGTGTAGCATTATGAGCAGGATGTGTCGTGATCATAAAAATAGATCTTTTGTCTACCCATTTAATAATTTTTATCTTGCTTTTCTCTTTGCCATTTGCTATTTGGGAACTCCTTTTCGGTTTGATCTTAGTGTGCCACAATACAGACATTTTTGATCAAGCAATGTTTTAACCAACGGTATTCCGGAATAAAAATTATCAGCATATAATATTCGTCCTTCTTTTGGATTCACATCTTCCAGCAATTTCAATACAATAGATTCTGCATGTCCCAGCTCAGGTTGTGTATCGCCTTTACCAGTGTAAATATTTAGGTTGTAAGTGTACCCAGAACTTGTACATAGCTTATAAAGTTTAACCCCATATCTATGTTTGTTATTCGGAATATACTGCCGGAAACTCAACCGTCCTCTAAACGGAACCATGGATTCGTCTACGACAAGGACTCGTCCTGGACTCAAAATTTGCTGATAAGTTTTTAACAGGAGTGAAATAAGGGGATCTATTTTGTACAGTCTATTTGTAGTATTGGCGGATTCGTTGTCAGAGAAATGGAGAAATCTTAGTAGCAAGAGAAACCTGTCTCTTGTGAAAATCGATGAAACAAATTCATTGTGAAATAGGGGCTCTTTCGACCAATATAAATTTATAGCTGGTACCTGCGTTAATCCCATTCCAATAGCAACACCCAAAAATTTTTAATTGTCCTTGTGTGTAATTGTTTGTTGGTTAATATCTGGGTCAAGTATGCATTCTTCATTGTGAAGATCAAAATTTATAGCTGAAGTTTTTATATCTTCCCATACATCCCTTAGATCACTGTCACTATCATTAACTTATTCATTATTGAGATAGTCTGCCTTGCTTGAAGGCCTACTTGGAACATCGTTATTGGCTTCGCTATCTAGAGCGTTAGAAGAAAATTCATTTTCGTCACTACTTTCACCAGTACTCTCATCATTCGAATCACATTGATAAATTTTGTCTTTCACAGAGTCATCACTATCAAAGTCTACCCAGTCTAAGTCAGAATCACTACCGCTATCATTCATTTGTTTCACAGTACGCGTAACATCTGAGGGACCAGGAGAACTATAATCATTTTGAGCGGAAAAGTCATTATTAGTTAAAAACGTAGAGTCCCGGTAACTCTCTAATTCCAAAGCATTACTTTCTTTAAATTTTCGTGCCGCTAATTCAACCAGTTTTTCTGAGCGCGACATCATTGTCGGTGACTTACGTTCAACTAAATATGCTTATTTACGAAATACGCGTTCAAGAAGTATGTAAGTTGAAACTCGTTAATACAGGACCTCGGGGATATGTTTCGCACAGAAGTTAATCTCGTATTAATTGAGTGCGAAACATATCCCCCGGGATATGTAAGAAAATTTACGCTTTATATGAAACTAGGTATCATAAGGATTAGAAAGCTAGCTATAATATTGAAATCATTAGAAAAATAACGTTTTCGCGACTAACGCGCTTGCATCGTACTTTGATTTAAGTCACTCCCGTCTCTTAGGAAAAATTCTCACATATTGCCGGGGGCATGTAACGCAGTCAACGTATTTTAAAGTAAATCACGTTTCCAGACGGCTCCTACGCAAATCCAGAAAAAGTTACATAGCTGTCATCCTTAGGGAACGTTTTCTTCTTCACGTCTTCACTTGATGGGAAGCAGAAAAATATTTTTTGAGATAAAACGCCACGAATAGCAGATCGGTAAGTAATTTGAGCGCGCGAAGGAGGAAAACGTGGCAGAAAAACGAGTATCAATTTTCCATGCTTATCTGCTCCCACTGTCATCTTATATGTATGTGTTTATCGATAGGCAGGTAGAGGAGAACAGGTAGTTTTCCCAGCAATTTCCCGTCAGAGACGTTCCTCCGCGACGCTAAACTGGTTTCGACGTCGCCGCCTCGACATCGCGTCGTTGCTGCTCCTTCGATCGATTTTTCAATGCCTCGCAACGGAAACGGAAGTGCAAAGCAGACGCGGACAATAACTAACCGGTAATATACAGCCGACAACGCTCCGGAGTACATGATAGTCCCAGAGCTGCAGCAGATACATCACGATTAAGGATAAAAAAATAGTATGGCCTGTAGATTTTGAAAAAGCCTTTGAAAAAGTGTAACGTAACAATCTCATGAGCATTTTAGACCATATTGGAATAGATTTTGTACACCGGGGAAAAGCGGGAGCCTGTATTGGCATCAAAGAGCGTATGTAAGACCCGCATTGCTATTATGTAAAACACCTGTAAAACGTCAAACAAAAAAAAAACAATAAAGGGTCATCTTGCAGAATATGTAGTTTTTAGGGTGCAAACAGTTCATTCCACGTTTGCTCGCTGTGAGCGACTTTCTATGGAGGCATGACTCAACTGCACGCATTGTTGGTTACATAGTTGTGAAGCCAAGTAGTCTGTATAGAAGATGTGAATGAAAGTAGGTTGAATATCAAGATCGCATCTGGATGATTATGTGTACTGGTCTGCATGTGTATAAAATCAGCGATATTTGCTATGTGAGAAAAGTATTACTGAAATCAGAGGCATTCCAGCCACCATAAGGAGCCAGTGCATAGGCCGCTTATACGGGGCCTTGTGCACCTTTTCATCCCTTAGGTCACAAGCCTCGCCCTTTCAGATAGGTTGAGAATCAGCTTGAATCCAAGCCCCTTGACGTCGTGAGGGTCCAAAGTAATGGACTACATATAGTAGCTCAGAGCTTCACAGCGATACAAAACGTGCGCCAAGGTCTCTTCCTCTACTCTGCAACGCTCACACAAGGGATCCTCAACCACCCCCATCACGTGCTGGTGGCGCCTTAACGTGTTATGGCCAGAAAACAGTCCCACCAGCTACCTTAGGTTAGCTCTATCCAGAGAAAAGCAGAAACGTTCATGCTTAGCTCTGGGCCCTTCAATGAGTTCTCGTGCCTGGCGTACCGGATGCTTCGCTGCGAGGAAATCCAGAGCCTTCCTGCATTGCAATACAAGACTAGACGTGATCTTACAGGCACTTGGTGCCTTCATTGCAGCCTGGCTGTCGGATAACATTGTGATTCTTCTCCTAAGGCCGCTCTCCTCCAGAATGCGAGATACACGAGCCGGGCCGTCCGTGTACCAGACCTGCCCGCTCCCTCCGGAGAGTCTCCGGCTACCGGCGTCCCACTCCTCGCTCGTTAGATACTCCACATTAAACCTGCGGTTGAAACGATATTTAGGGGTAATGCGGTCACCCCTGCTTAGAAGGACGGAGTCCTCCCTCTGCAATTTGACTGAGATGGCCGTATGCCTCTTGACAGGATTCAAGAAGAGCCAGCTGCCCTGACTCCACAGTCGATGAGCGACTACTCCCGCTTCACCGTGGATCACCAGATCCAACACTGCTGAGCCTGATGAGGAGTTCGTTCGCCACGAGGTAGCAGAGTAGGGGTGACAGAACTCCACCCTGAGGGCAGCCTCTATCTAGGCTGACGCAGCAGCTTACTTCATTCAGCATAGCTGTTGGCTACCCGACCCTCTAGAGTAGAGAGGACCCAATCTAGTAGGATTGATCCAACCCCGTGCCTAACCAAGACATATCCGATAGAATCGGTAGTAGTGCAATTAAATGTACATTCAGTGTCCAAAAAAGCCACGAGTGCCACTTCTCGCTGATCTAGAGTCTTCTCCAGCCTACCGACCAGATTCCGTCGATTTTCCAACCTGGTATGCAAACTGATTTGCATAAATGACACACCTTTTCAGCGGGCTATACCTTAAGTATCTATCAACTATCCTTCCTAATGTCTCAAGCACAAAGGGTGAAAGAGAAATCAAACGAAAATTCTTCAGGCCAGTATATCTAGCCCTGCCAGGCTTAGGAATGAATATCACTTTAGCCTGCCGCCAGCTTCTGTGGAACTGGGAAAGTGCATATCGATCAGAAGCCTCAGAGTACCTTCTTCAGGAGTAGTATTCCCTCCCGAGGGATTATACAGAGATACCAATCTTGCTTTAGTGTTTTTGCATAGGCCCCTGTGTATTCTAGCAGTAGCAGAAATGTCATCTATGGATTGACAGGATTCTCTGGAAGCTCTTCTAATCTCCTTTTTGTATTCCTGCAATGCCGTCTTCCCATTGGAGAGACCTTCTCCTGTGCTTAACTCTACTAAGAAGTTTGTGCACAGCTCGTTCCCTGACCTCCAACTCCTTGGACCAGAAGGTTGCCTTGCCCTTACCTTGAACCGTCAAGACCCTGCTCAGAGACTTGACGGCTGCTTCTATATCAGAACCCCTTCAAAGCCTGTATGGGACCCCTCCAAGCTTACTGTCAAGGTCAGCCCTGAAGGACCCCCATCTAGTATGCCTAGGATTCCGAGCATATTTATCTGGAATCACTCTTACCTGTGATCCGATAGATAGGGTGTTAGAGACACTTTTCAGTCCCTAATATCGTGAGCTAAGTTGCTGAGAGTAGGCGTATTATCGACATGCAGTACCTCAAGGTTCGATGCCCCTAGGAACTCCGTCTGTCTGTTGGTGTTTGAGCTGCCCCACATGACGTGGTGGGCATTTCTGTCGCTTCCAATCACGAGGTTCAGAATCCCTACAGAATGCGACAAGGTCCCCTGGTTCCTTAGATGGAGGAGGTTCTCTTGAATCGTAAGGAAGCCGACCTCTAATAATGCCATCTCTGAAGCAGATTTTACATCTCGTCACAGCAAAATATTGATAACTGAAGCAACGTTTAGGCAGCACGTACAACCACAAAACGGGTTCACAACAAGTGTTCATTAGCTAGTGCTAAGTTAGCATCTTGTAGAAAAACCTACATAATGCCACAAAAAAACAATATGTCAAAAAAATCGACATAATGTCACTTTTCAAGATACGCAATACCCGTACCGATTTTATTAATGATTTGGGAGAATCAAAATTTGCGCATTTGGTACAAATTTCAGAGGGCGTCTTTGAACATATGAGTCTAATGAATTTGGACGATTTCTTGCAAAATGCTTCAGCAACTAAAGAAAAATTGAACGATTTGTGTAATACTATACTACTACTTATAATTCTCAAATTAAATTAATTGTTCCCCGACAAAAAGTTGAAGCAAATTTCGCCAACCAAAAAGAAGGATTTGTGCCCTATTCCAA